GCAAGAGATACAGTATCACCTCATAGCAATACTAACACTTGGACAGTGAAAGGAAGAGACCTAACTATGTCTTGAAGGCTGCTCTCCTCAGTGGCATTCCTCTTCATGCAGAGCTCATTAATATAGGTCAGACATCAGATGGCATGAGCTTCTGTTTGGGGACTTTATTCCCACTCTCTCTCGGCCCATCAAGTTCTGAGGGCACAGAGAAGACAGAGAACTACAGAATCGCCCCCACAGGAAACCACCACTTTCCAATTATATGTCCACTGGCTTTGGTGTTCATTGTCTCACAAGACCACCATAACACCTGCAACACAGACATGACAGGCATCCTCTCCATCTTACAGAGAAGATATAGTGACTCTGGGACTAGATGAGTCACCTACTCAAGGTCACAAACCAGAAACTTCAGCAGCAGCCAGCCAGGAGCTGGGCCTAGCCCTCATACTCTTGGCTAGTGCAGTTTCCGGGATGTCACCCTGCTTTCTTATGTTATAGATGAGAAGCCACACAGTGATGTGAAGAGCCCGGTTTTGGCCCAGAATGCAGTAATCCCAGCACTTGGGGAGGCCGACTCAGAAAAATCATAGAGCTCAAGGCCCATCTGTGCTACACAGCAAGATTCAGTATAGCCTAGGCTACATAGCGGGACTCTGTGTGAAAAAGGCTATATAGCGGGACTCTGTAAAAAAACAAAAGTCCAGCACCACCACACTTGCTACCCTACTAGCTATCTGATCTTTTGTGGGTTCATTAACTGCCCCCTAAACATGCTTCCTTACCTATAAACTGGGTGGGAATGGAGAATAGCTCTACCTCAGAGAGTCACAATGATGATTAAAGAAGATGATGGAAATAAACTACTCAAATTCTCTCACTTAGCAAATACTTGTGCCACAAACAGGGCAAGAGTTACAAGCAAGCCAGGCACTGGTGGTTTAGGCCTCTAATCCTAGCTACTGAAGAGGCTGAGATATGAGGATGACAGTAAGAATTACAAGCAAGGAATTAGAAGTTGGTTAAACTACTGGAGAAATAAAAATAAACAGATGAATAAACTATTTATAGTGTTAAGAAGTATTAAGGTAAAAGTAAGTGGATGGGAAGAATCTCAGGTAGGGTTAGTTTCTGAGAGTGGTCTCTAAGGAGAAATTTCTGTTGAGCCAAGAGCTCCAGAGGATGTGTCCCTGAGAAAAATGGAAGGAAAAGCATTCCTGATACAGGGACAGGATGTGTGAGGGGCAAGGAATAAGGAAGCACATAACCCAGAGACAAATGGGACTGTGTGTATCCTCAAATAGGATTGGGGGAACAACCTTTATAGGCTGCCGTCACTGAGGATTACCACATCTATTTTTAAAAAAACAAAGATGAGCTAGAGTGAGGAGGTGTATGTTGTCCAAGGTCACAGTTATTCAAAAGGAGCTGGATCTAACAAAATCCTGTCCATTTTACTTATTTCACTAATTTCACTAATGACCACTTTCTGTCCCCTTAAGCATCCTCAAAACACCCTCAAAACTCAAGCAACAATATCCTATCAACTTCCAGGCATCTGGACTATTGTGCACTGAAATTCCTACCATCTGAATCTTACCAGGCAAAAGGAAAAGCTGCTCAGACCTGACTTAAAGGCTCCAAAGTGGAAGCAAGTTTCTCTTCTTGCAGTAATGAACAAGAGAGGGAAAGGATGTCCCAGAAAATCCCCTGGCCTGTTTAAGGTGATAGAACCACAGGCTCATCTCAAGTGAACAGCGCAGAAAAAACTAATTAGTGTTTTTGAATAAAAGAATGAATTATTGCAAGAGTGGTTCTCAGTCAGGGCATCTGGGAATTCTCAGAGTCATTTTAGGGATGAACTAAGGGATGCTACAGGCATTTAATAGGTGCAATGTCTTGCAGAAGGACAGGACAACCCTATGCATTAAAAAAAAAAATGTATCCAGATTGTTAACAGCAACCTCCAATGTACACTTTAAAGACACCTCTCCCTAAAGGAGTGCTAGTATGCCCAACTCTTCCTATATCCTCACCAGTCAGTGGTGTGCCCTGCCCTAAGGTCACAACTGGATGAAGAAAATAAAAAACAAAAACTAAAACTAATGCTTCAGAGATGAGGAGTTAGGGCTGGGAAGGTGGCTCAGTGGTAGAGTGCTTGGCTTGCATGCATGAGGCCCTGGGTTCAATTCCTCAGCACCACATAAGCAGAAAAGGCCAGAAGTGGCACTGTGGCTCAAGTAGTAGAGCGCTGACCTTGAGCTGAAGAGCTGAGGGACAGTACCCAGGCCCAGAGTTCAGGCCCCATGACCAACAAAAACAAAACAAAACAAAACAGAGATAAGGAGTTAGATTTAGAATCTAGTTATAAACTCCTAACTTCAGCATGGGACCAGGTAGTAGAATCTGGATAAAGAAGTATCTAGGGGTTGGGGAGGTGGCTCAGTGGTAGAGCGCTTGCCTTGCATGCATGAGGCCCTGGGTTCAATTCCTCAGCACCACATAAGCAAAAAGAAAAAAGCCAGAGGTGGCACTGTGGCTCAAGTGGTAGAACTCAAGTGGCTAGCCTTGAGCTGAAGAGCTGAGGGACAGCGCCCAGGCCCAGAGTTCAGGCCCCACAACCGGACCAAAAAAAAAAAGTATCTAGTAAAAGACAGACTTCAGAAATTTTAGCAAAAAGAGAACTTGTTTTGTTCACAAAATATTACATTTGTTTTTGCTACACACAAAATTCAGTGACTTAAAGAACCAGCTTACAATGCTTTTCAGTTTACAACCAGATACTAAAGACAGGACTTTTAAAAATGTAACAAAAATTATCTCACCAACACAGTTGACTCTTTCTGGACTGGACTTAATAGAAATATTATTCAGGGCTGGGAAGGTGGCTCAGTGGTAGAGTGCTTGCCTTGCATGCATGAAAAAGCTGGAAGTGGTGTTATGGCTCAAGTGGTAGAGTACTAGCCTTGAGCTAAAGAGCTCAGGCCCCACAACCGACCAAAAAAAAAAAATTATTCATTTTATGTTAACCAAATGCCTAGAACTACCAAAGGCAAACAGGCCTTACATTTCCTTCACAGCAGGTTTTTGTTTTTTGTTTTGTTTTTGGAGTGTGTGTGTGTGTGTGTGTGTCGGGTTTTTGTTTTGTTTTTGGAGAGAGAGAGAGAGAGAGAGAGAGAGAGAGAGAGAGAGAGAGAGAGAGAGAGAGTGTGTGTGTGTGTGTGTGTGTGTGTGTGTGTGTGTGTGTGTGTGAAATGCCTAGAACTACCAAAGGCAAACAGGACTTACATTTCCTTCACAGCAGGTTTTTGTTTTTTGTTTTGTTTTTGGAGTGTGTGTGTGTGTGTGTGTGTGTGTGTGTGTGTGTGTGTGTGTGTGTGTGTGTGTGTGTGTGTCGGGTTTTTGTTTTTTGTTTTGTTTTTGGAGAGTGTGTGTGTGTGTGTGTGTGTGTGTGTGTGTGTGTGTGTGTGTGTGTGTCGGTCCTGAACTCAGGACCTGGGCTCTATCTCTGAGCTTCTTTTGCTCAAAGCTAAGCTCTACCACTTGAGCCACAGTGCTACTTCTGGCTTTTTTTTTGAGTAGTTTATTAGAGACAAGAGTCTCACAGACTTTCCTGTCCAAGCTGGTTTTGAACCATAACCCTCAGGTCACAGCTAGCCTCCTGAGTAGCTAGGATTATAGTGCGAGCCACCAATACCCTGCTTCATTCACAGCAGTTCGATGTAAGCTAAAGAAGCTCCGATGATATGCAGATTTAAAATACCATTTTACTAGCAACTAAAAAGCAACTTCAAAGTGTTACCCTAGTCAACATATACCCCCAAATTATTTACCAAATTAAAGTTTGTGGAGTTGACCAAAAGAAACAAACAACAACAAAAAAGTGGGGGGAGGGTATTTCCAAATAGCTCCAACACAGAGTACCCCAAGGACAGGAGAAATCTTTCTCTTGTAGTGTCTAAATATTCCTAAGTCACCCAAGGGGATCTGAATATAACTCTTTCACTCAGCTTGGCAATTAGCAAACAGCAGCCCCACACCCCTTTTGACCAATTTTCTAGAGGCCTGACCTGGCTTCTCAGGATAGCCAAGCAGACAGACCTGTTTTCCTCTAGAAGAGCCAGCCAAATCTTTTCTGCCCTGCAGGGCTAGAGCCTGGGAAATCCCCCTTGGGTCTTTAGCTGGCCTGTTACCAGAAGTTCACAAAATGAATTCATCCAGATTCTCTGAATCTGCCTCTTCTCCAGTCATGTGCTAACTGCCAGGCAATAATACCCCCACCGTGTCAGGCTCTGTTACAAAAAGATGCAGATTCATGGGAAGAGCAAGCACTTAGCATGGGGGGGGGGGGGGGGGGATGGAGGCATGTGAGAATCATGAAGCCAAGCCTACTGCATGCAGCAAGGGAGACCAAGGCCTTAGTCCTGCAGAACCAGGGAGTCTCTCCATATCCATCCAGCAGGCCACACCTGTCTATGTCAGCCGCCTGCTCCATTTTAAACAATTCATTTGGATCTCCAGCTAGGGTGGCAAAATTGGGCACACACACCCTCTCCCAGCAAGACTTAGAGATCTAATCCAAGCACTACTTGCCCCCAATTTTCTTTCTTTTCACACTCTTTGTTTAGAGACACTATCTGGGCTAATGACGAGGTAGGCACCATGCAGCAAAAGCAGAATGGAAGTGCCCAAGTTGACTCCCTGTAAACCAGACAGGACCTCTCTTGAGCATGATGATGCCAATAAATAGGGTTTCGATGATCAGGTTTCACCCTGCCATCCACAAGTGAACACACGCCTCGACTACTAAAACGGAGACCCTCACAGACAGCCTCCTTTCTAGATGGTTAGGTACCCCCATTCATCCGCTGGTGCCGGAAACCAAAAAGAAAGGCAAAGCGCTCCATACCCCAAACCTTAGCACACGTGAAAAGGTTTGGGAGCCCCGGCGCGCCCTCCCTTGTACCACCCTTCAAGGCCTCCGCCATCCGTGGACTCACCACTGTGAGAGCTGAACCACCTAGGTGCGATGTGCAGAGGTAGAGCATCCGCCAGCGAGGCTCGGGAGCCCAGGTACAGCATCCCGTCTCTATGGTGACCGCCGCCGGTCTCCTGGTAACCATTGCCATGGGCATAGGTGGAGTCAGACGCAGACCCTCCGCCGCCGGGCGCCCTCTCGGAGTCGCCGGTCCCCCGGGAGGCGGGGGTGTAGAGGCCAAAGGGCACCCCTCCGGCCGTACTGGGGTCCATGCCCATGCCCGCCACCGAGCTGACCGAGCGGCTGCGCAACCCCATGGCCCCGCCGCCGGTCCGGTAGTGCCCAAAGTGGGGCGCCCCTCCAGGCGGAGGCACCGCGCTGTCATCGGTGGAGACCCCCGGGAAAGGGCCCCGGGAGCGGGCCGCCGTGCTCTGCTTGCCCCCCATGCTCGCCCGGGCCCCGGCGGGGCGGGAACCTGGAGGCCGAGACCCTCCCCCACCTCTCAGCAGCGGGGGGAGGGCTGGGCGAGCATACAGGGGGGAGGGGGGCAAAAAGGAGACCCGGAGAGAGGGAGGGGGGAATCAAAAAGAAAAAACCAGAGAGAGAGGGCAGAGACAGAGCCCCCGAGGGGCGGAAGAAGCAGGCGCGGGCGGGGACCCCAAACTAAGAATCTAAGCCGATCCGAGCCAAATGCATGTTTCCCCTCAAGGTCCGAGGCGCGCAGTCCGGCCGGGCTCGGGCGCCACAGGCCGCCCCCGGGTCCGAGAGCCGGCGGAGCCGCAGGGGAGGAGGGCGGGCGCGGCGGGCGGGCGCGCGCGGGGAGGCGCCGGGAGGCCGCCCGCCCCTCGGGAGGAGGCGGAGGAGGGCTGGGGGGGCGCCGGGCGCGTCCCCCACCTCAGGACGCGGCGACCATGGACGGCGGCCCGGACCCCTCCGGAGGTCTCGGGCGGGCTGCAGCGCCGGGAGGCTGAGGCGGAGCTCTGGAAGCCGCCGTCGCGTCGCGTCGCGTCGCGTCGCGCGTTCGCTCCAGCCACCGCCGGCCCCTCCAGCCGCGCCGCGCCGCCAACCCCGCTGGGTCCCGGGCCGCGCTCGCCGGCGCTCCCCGCCGCCGCGGAGACAATGGAGGGCGGCAGTGCGCAGGCGCGGCCCGCGCCCCCTCCTCCCTCCCCCTCCCCCCCGCCCGGCGGGTTAACCCCTTCGCAGCCCCGGCGGCGCCCAGGCAGCTGACTTCCCCGAGGTCCCCATCCGCCCTCGCGCCCCAGGCTGACCTGTCATCCCTGTGGCGCATGCCTTGGTGACATTAGCAACCAAAGCAAGCTCTAAAGTTCTCGAAAGTGGCTGGTTATTGGCCTGGAGCTCGGGGCGGGGTGGGGGCGGGGGGTAAACCACCTGTGGGGGAGGGTCGGGTTGGTTCTAGGGGGGTGGGTGAGGAAAACAGCAAATAGGAAGAAAGACGATTACTCAACATGCCTACCTGGCTTTTGGCGGGGGGTCACTGGTCGAGCTGCCCTCCCGGCGCAAATCTGCCCCCACAGCACCCTCTGGTGGACGTGCCGCCCATTCTTTTCGGGGTTCCCCCTCCAAGGACATTTGGGAGGAAGGGGGAATAGCTGTCAGATACAGTACGGCCCTGGGGGCGCTTGTGAATTGAGGCTTTGCTAACATGAGATCAGAACTACTTATTTTGGACTTAAGCAAATGAGTCAATTTCTTACTTAAAATGTAACCCTCAAAAATCAACTAACTGCCAGGCGCTGGTGGCTCACACCTGTAATCCTAGCTACTCAGGAAGCTGAGATCTGAGGATCATAGCCAGCCCGGGCAAAAAAGTCCCCCCAGACTCTTATGCCCAATTAACCATTCAAAAACCAGAAGTGGTGCTGTGGCTCAAGTGGTAGAGCACTAGCCTTGAACACACAGAGGTTCGAACAAGGACAGCATCCAAGCCCTGAATTCAAGCCCCACTACCAACCAAAAAAATAAAAAGTCAACTAACTGTAGGAAATAAATAATGGTTGATTTTAGAAACTTCTTAACCAAGACCAGCCTCTATTTTACTTATCATGTCTTATTTTCTCTGTTTTGTGCTGATTTGGGGGCTTGAACTCAGGGCCTGGGCGATGTCCCTTAGCTTTTTTGCTCAAGGCTAGCTAGCACTCTACCACTTGAATCCCACCTATTTTTCTGTCTTTTTGGTGGTGAATTGGAGATAAGAATCTCAAGGACTTTCCTGCCCGGGCAGGCTTTGAACAATATCCTCATACCTCAGCCTCCTGAAGACCTAGAATTACAGGTATGAGCCACCAGTGCTTATTGTGTATATTTTTTTACATAGAAGCTGATGAGAATCTGCTCTGTTCTCATAACTCAATGTTTTTTTCATGTTTTTCATGTTGCTTCCATGACATGGCCCACTGACTACCCTCCCCCCTGGGGACCTTCCTGAAAATTCTACAGCCCAGAATCTTAATCTAAATGTGAAGACCCACTTCCCCAGGTGATAGACACCTGAGCTCCTCAAAGCAGAGGGGGGCAGGAGGCGCTCAAACAATAGCTTCCTGGAACCAGACCTACACCACAAACTTTGAAAACTCCTTGCAACTCTCCAGCTACCTTCCACCCTCCCCTCACCTGAGATCATACCTAAGCCCCTTCACCCCTACCTCTCATGTCTCCTGACTCTTCTCAGGTCACCCTGGCATCCCTCTTCCACTTCCCACTGAAATTGACCTGGTCTGCTGAGTTCTCTTCCTGAGTGCCCTTTCTTTATTCTAATATCCTTAGGACTCAGTTTCCTAACAGAAGCGTAAGGCAAGAATACACTGAGTGAGTACTCAAAACAATTTTGTTGACCTCAGCTACATTTTGCAACCAAGAATCACCTTTTCATTTCTGTCCCTGTCTTGCTCATATATTCACATTATTCATTCAATCACTGAACAATTATTTCTCAAGTGAACAGTGCTGGCTATAAGCATCACCTAGTGCTTGGCCTGACTTCCTCCCTCTTAAGTGTCCCGGAGACCTTCCAAACTAAAATCCAAACAGAAGGAATATCAAAGGAAAAGTAAAAAGATATATTGATTGTTCCAGTGAAATCAGTCTAGAAAGCAATTAAGATGTTGATTATTTGCAAGCATGGGGTGCCTGGGGGTAAGCAAAAAGCTCCACACAAAGAAGCTGAGTTTTGTAACAAATGAAAGTGGAAACGGCTGGGAATGTAGCTTAGTGATAGAGTGCTTGCCTAGCATGCATGAAGCCCTAGGTTGGATTCCTTATACCATGTAAACAAGCCAGAAGTGGCACTTGGTTCAAGTGGTAAAATGGTAGCTTGAGCAAAATAAGCTCAGGGGCAGTGCCTAGGCCCTGAGATCAAGCTCCAGACTGGCAAAAAAAAAAAAAAAGAAACAAAATGAGTCAATATTTAAGATATTATCTATAAGTGTGTCCATGATGAGTACATGCACAGCTCAAATCCAAATGAATGAAAGGAAGAAAAACAAGTTTACATTTAACCCGATTTTCTCCCAGAAAAAAAAGACTATGGGGTCCGAAGAGGGATAGTGAAGCACTGTGCTTACCGGGAGCCAGTGGCTCACGCCTGTAACCCTAGCTACTCAGGAAGCCAGCCCAGGGAAGAAAAGTTCTCCTGAAACTCTTACCTCTACTTAACCACTCAAAACCTGGAAGTAGAGCTATGGCTCAGAGTGGTAGAGCACTAGCCTTAAGCAAAAAGAGTTCAGGAACAGCATCCAGGCCCTGAGTTCAAGCCCCAGAACCAACAAAAGAGAGAGGGGCAGGGAGGGAGGAAGAGAGGGGGAAGGGAGGAAGGGAGAGAGAGAGAGAAAGAGAGAGAGAGGAGAGGGAGAGAGAGACACTAGATTCCTGACTCAGGTATAAATATACAATGACCATTTTCATTCACTCAAAACTCCTGGGGAGAGGGGGGCTGGGAAGGTGGCTCAGTGGTAGAATGCTGGCCTTGCATTCATGAGGCCCTGGGTTCAATTTCTCTGCACAACATAAGCAGAAAAAGAAGTGGCGCTGTGGCTCAAGTGGTGAAGCTCTAGCCTTGAGCTGAAGAGCTGAGGGACAGCGCCCAGGCCCAGAGTTCAGTTCCTACGACCAACACACACACACACACACACACACACACACACACACACACACACACACACACACACACACACACACACACACACACACACACACACACACACACACCTCTGCTGGAGATTGAACCAAACACTGAACATTCTAGGTGAATGTTCCACCACTAAATGTAGCTAATAAGTGTCAGGCACTGTACTAGATTCTTGGATACAGAGTGAACAAGACAGAGGGAGTCTTTGTTCTCATAGAACTTCAGAACTATTTTGTATCACATGGAACAGAGGACAATAACAAGTGTTGATGGGAAGCTGAGAAATTCAGGCCTTTATACCTTGCTAGTGGGAATGTAAAACAATGTACTTGCTTTAGAGGCTGGTCGTTCCTCAAAAAGATGAAACATAAAGTAACAATATGATCCAACAATTCTACCCTTAGGTCAATTTCCCAGAAAAATTAAACACACATTCTCTCTCTCTCCCTCTCTCTTTCTCACACACATATAAATACACACACATGAGTATTCATGAAAGTATTACCTAAAATAGCTAAAAAGTAAAAGCCACTCATGTCCAACAATAGATAACAAATAAACCAATAAAGGTTTATCCATACAATGAAATATTATTCAGCCATAAAAAGGAATAAAGGACTGATACATGATATAAAATGAATGAATCTTGAAAATAATTATGCTACATAAAAGAAGCCAGTCCTAAAAAGGTGCCAGTTATATGATTGTACTTATTTGAAATGTTGAGTATGCAAATCCACTGAGAAAGAGTGTTGGCTATCAGGGCCTGAGGGGAAGAAAGAACAGAGACTGACTACTAAGGCTTTCCTTTTGTTTGTTGTGATTGGGTCTCCAGGCCTCAAACACATGGAATCCCAGTACCTAGGAGGTTGAGGCATCCTCCCAGGTACTGGGATTCCATGTGTATGCATTTCCTTTTGAAGAGGTGAAAATGCTGTATAATCAGATGACACTGGTGATTGTGCAACCATGTGACAATACTGAATTCGTTAGTTATACCTTTGATAAGGTTAATTGTATCACTTATGAGTTACAATATAATGTATATCCAAAGGGATTGATCTGGATCTGCAGTTCAGTGTCAGAGTACTTGTCTGACACAAGAGCAAGGCCTTAGTTAGAGCCCCAACACTCCAATTAAAGAAACCATTATCAAAGCCATTAGTAATAATGCAGTATTATCTATTACATAAGCCTAAATCAGTGCCTGATATGTGATAAGCTCTCAATATTTGCAATAAGAATGTGTGAGTAGCAGCACCAAGCACTAGTAGCTCAACGCCTGTAATCCTAGCTACTCAGAAAGCTGAGAACTGTGGATCCAGGTTCAAAGTCAGCCCAAGAAGAAAAGTCCCCATAAGATTCTCATCTCCGGGGCTGGGAAGGTGGCTCAGTGGTAGAGCGCTTGCCTTGCATGCTGGAAGCCCTGGGTTCGATTCCTCAGCACCACATAAGCAAAAAGAAAAATGCCAGAAGTGGTGCTGTGGCTCAAGTGGTAGAGCTCTAGCCTTGAGCTGAAGAGCTGAGGGACAGCGCCCAGGCCCAGAGTTCAGGCCCCACGACCGGACCCCCCCCCCCCAAAAAAAAGATTCTCATCTCCAATTAACCACTCAAGAACTGGAAGTGGAACTGTGGCTCAAAGTGATAGAGTGCTAGTCCTACCTTGAGCAAAA